GGCCCGCGTACCGCAAAAAAAAAAAAAAAAAGCCCATGAAAAGCCCTTCTCTCCTGGAAGGTCCTCCTCTCAGACCCTGGTCACACAGGACTGAGGCACTGTCTTAGCAATCCCTAGCTCCATAGCCAGGCACCCTGAGACAATGAGGCAGCTTGAAAGTAAAGGAGGAGACACAGAAACTACGAACAGACAGAACTTCACAAACACGGCAGCTCACAGGAGCACCAGTGTGACAACTGATGTTACGGGCGGTGACAGCTCACAAGAAGAGGGCATGTAACTCTTGGTTAGCCATGAAGCCTGCTGGGAGAAACAGGGACATCTCAAGAGCATCCGAGACCCCAAATCCTGGGGTTCTACAAACAGGGAGTAACAGACAACTTCCCCAGCAATGACAGAAAATGCCAATTAAAAAAGTATCATAACTGTAAAAGACAATAATGATCCCTGCTTTAAAACAAATGACCCAGGGCTGGCAAGGCTGCAGGCAGAAAGAAACGCTCCCATGTTGCACGTGGCGCTGGTTAAACTGTCCTATGAAAGTGAGGATACCAAGAGCCCTAAAAATGTCAGCCCGATTGCCCCATTCCTGAGGATCTGTCTAAAAAAATTAATCCAAAAGAAAAGGGGGAAAACACAGGAAGAAAGTTGTTTTATGGCAGTAAAATGTGTAATGCTTAAAAGCTGGAAATTAAAACACCAAATGTCCAACAACAGGGAGATACGGGGTATGCAATGTAATGAAACATGATATAGTCAGTTAAAAGGGAAAAAGCTATTCATGGCATTATGTTAACTGGGGGAAAAGTAGAGCAGGAAATTGTACATGTACAATGATTGCATGCAAATAGATAAAGACTGAGAGGAACCACAGGGAAACAAATAGCTGTGTTTGGGTGGTAGGCATATGAATGTAATTTCTTTTTAGTTGTTGTAAAGTTTTGACATCAGACTTTTAAAGAACTGGCCTGGCTTTCCCAGCAAAGGTGGGCTTGTCACTCTCTGCTGGGAACCGGTGCTAACCCTTAGCCTTGGGGCTTGCCACACCTCGGGCCATCCACATGGCTGGCTACATCTGTGGGAACCCACCAGGCTTGTCTGAGTGAGGCAGGTGTATACACTGACTGGTCTAATTGGCTAAGAGGTCCCTGGGAGAAACACAGAGGACATTGGGAGTTAGACAAAGGGAGAGCATGGGTAATTCTATGCACTTAAACATTGAGATGGATAATTTAAGAATCCAATGCAAAAGTATGCAAATGCCCATCTGCTACATAAATCTATAGGCTGACAACACCAGAGCATAGTTCTCAAATTAGAATGGTCTCAAATGCCAGGTGGTCCACCCAACCCACAGGCAGGTTAAGGATGGCTGCCTGCTTCATACATGAGAGCTGAATCTCAGAGGGGTGAGGTGACTTGCCCCAGGTCACAAAGTCAGGGATTGCTGAGACAAATGTTGCCACTACTCTGCTAACTGGCAGATGCCTCACGCCTCTGAGGCTCAGAACATTCTTGACACTCGGTCTTGCTGCTTGACTAGACACAGCCATTTCAACTTGTGCCACAGCCCAACTCAAACTCTACTAACCGCCGGAGGCCCACCTCCACCTCCCCAGTCCATGGGGGGCATCTCCAGGAGGGACACCAGTTGGCCAACCAACTCCTAGAGTCGTGGTGTTACCCATCCAAATTCCACCAGACTGTGAAGGATTCCCCTGCAGGGCCAGCCCAAGGCCATCCCACCTCAAGCGCATAGCTCTGGCCCCGCCACTTCCTGGTTGTAGGATCTTGTAAATGACCCAGCCTCTCAGTGTTCTTGTCTGTAACATGGAGGTAATAAGAGTCTCCATGGGATAGGATTGTTATGAGGATTAAATGAAGTAACAGACATTCTCAGCAAAGTGAATACAAAGTCCTCTTGGCCTAAGTGGGACACTACCCTCAAAACAGCTCCCTGTGAAGACTGAACGAGACAACACGAAGGACCTAGCAAATGCTTGGCTTACAGCAGGGCCCTCTAAGCAATAGTTACTATGATAACAATAAAGGCATCAAACACAGCACAAAGGCAGGGGGAGGTTCCCAGAAAAGGACTGAGAAGGCCTTTGCAGAGCCTGGAGGATGTTTGTTCTTCCCTTCCTCATAGAACAGACTCTCCCTGACAGCCCCCTGCTCCGCCTTCCACCCTCTGCCCCCCCCCCCATCCTCCCACGTGCTCACCAGCCAGGAAAGTACCCCAGCACTCCCCACTTCGTCCCTCTGATCCCCAGGGCCCAGTGAAAGTCAGACCTAGACCCTCGCCCTCAGTCCCTGCTGCACAGCAAGCCCGGGTTCAGGAGGAGAATGGGGTAAATGAGGGAAACCACTTCCCACTGACTTCACCTCCTCCAGGTCCGGCTTCTGTCAGGTTGTTGCTCCCTCTGGGGCCTGTGGCTGCAGCTCCCCTGCGCCCTGCTGCCCCGCCCCCCCAGTCCCAGGCACCCACTCACAGCTCGAGGATGAGCACCACGTCAGTGCGGTTCTCGAAGACGTCGTGCAGCGTGATGACGTTGGGATGCAGCACCCGCCGCAGGATGCTCACCTCCCGCTCGATCTCCTCCCGGCACACACCTCGCCGGCTGGCCTGTCTCTGCCGCTTCTTGATGAACTTGGCTGCATACTCCAGCCCTGTGCTCTTCTCTCGGCATTTCTTCACGATGGCGAACTGGCCGCTGTGGGGACACAGACCCACACAAGGAGGGCATCACTGTGGTTACTGGGGAAGTGACCTGGTTGTCACCCCTAGGCTACAGTGACTCAGAGTCATTCTTCCAGGGCAGGACAAATCATGCCACCAGCCAGCATCCCCACCTGGCCATCAACCAGTGACTGAGACAGAGTAAGTACTGGGCTTCCCTTCTGTTCATACGAATCCTTTACCTTTTACTAGGAACGAATGTTGGTATTGTCACTCCCAGTGTACAGATGGGAACACTGAGGCCCTGAAAGGCTACTGGTTTGATCTGGATGACACAGCCTCATCGTTCCAAAGCCTCAGCTAGAACCCCTGTCTTGTGTCTACCAGATGAAATCACAATGTCCAGAGGTTTATACTACTTAATGAAAAGATTTTTAAGGAAAAGCAGGACTTTCCTGGTGGTCCAGTGGTTAAGATTCCATGCTCCCACTGCAGGGGGCACGGGTTTGGCCGGGGAGCTAAGATCCCATGTGCTGTGAGGTGCGGCATAAATAAATAAATACATACATCAAAAAATAAAAAGCAAAAATGGTCAGCATGGTCAAAATACTAACAGTAACAATCATCTGTTTGGGCCTCCCTTATCTGGAAGCAAGTACAAATTCACCTATTTGGAATTGTGAGGGGACAAAGCACCTCTATGGTCTCATGTTTGTACCTTTGTTTCCAACCCCTCCCAACAAATAAAAATCTCAATTACCTGACATGAGCCAAGTAGTCAGACTATAGGGGACAGAGCTAATATGAGGATGATGCACTTAAGGACGAGGCCAGAGGCTATGTCAGCTGGGTTCGGGGGGATCCTGGTGGAGGTGAGGGCAGGGTGGAGGCAGCCTAACATTGTTAGTAAGCACAGTGGGTGTTCATCACGGTGAGAAGACTGATAGGACCACAGAATCGTAAAATGTTAGGAAACTGAGGCACAGGAGACATCAAGTGACTCACCTGAGGTCATCACAGAGTTAATGGCAATGTCAGGCCCCAGGGCCGAGTGCCCAGCCCACTGTTCACAAAACCACTAAGATAGTTAAAGGAGTCAAGATGACGCTCAGTGCCCTTCAGGCTGGGCCTGAAAATCCTTCACTCCAGGGACCCAGACAGCAATCATGAAATGGTGTCCTTGCCAGAGTGGCAGGTGGCCCTAGGAGAGCCTCTCTGGGTGCTCCAGAAGCAGCGCCCCCCCCAACACACACACACACACACACACACACACACATACACACAGGGAAGGGCAGTGGCCTCCTGTTTCACCATCTCAGTCTAGGCAATCGGTGGGGGCCACTCGAAGTTCCTGGTGACTGCCCAGTGGCCACCCTCCGGTGAGTCTTCCCACTCCCCTTCCACCAGTGCCCCATGTTTTCTTGCCAACCACAATATCCACTGCTTGAGACACAACTCAGGAAATTTTAAGGTTCAGCTTAATGGCTAAACAGGGGCCATGAGACTCCACACTTTGGAGGTACTCTCTTAGTGGCTCTGGAGTAAAAGTTACACACAAGTGCTCTGGATATTTGCCTCAACCTCAGAAAACAGCATCACATCTGAACCACTCCATTACTAGAATAATCCTTAGTGAGACAGCCTTCAAAATAAGCCAAAGTGATTAAAAAAAAAAAGTCAAGTAGAGCAAGTAAGGAATAGATATGCCAACACTTAAATAGCATTCTATGGCAACCACCTTAGAGATGTTGCCAAACACATGTTCATGCATCTCTCCATCCCCACATCCCCCAATCACCCAGTGCTACCTGATCATCTACCCTGTGCCAGGCTCTGAGCTGCACAGTAAGGGGCAGGGACCAGAGGCACACACATCAGATACAGATGGAGCTCTGGGAAGGGAGAGGGCCCTGGCTGCTTGGCTGGGCTGGGAAGCCTTTGTGGAGCCAAATGTCTATCACACTGTCTGCTAACTCTAAACTATTAGAGTTAACTCAGCTATTTATGCCCCAAATATTGGCTCTGGGCTCTCTACACACTAGGGGTTGACACAGGTGGAGTGAAGCCAAGCCTCCCAAAGTCAGAGGGAACACATTCAGTGAGATCTCTGGTCACTGGAAGCTGCTTTGGGCCTTGGGACATCAGGTTGCTTTGTGGGTGCCACCAAACACTGGACAAAGCCTCCAGTCCCAGGCAGCTGTAAGTCTCTGTGTCAGGATGGCCACACTCCTTTCCTCTCTCTCTGACACCTCAAGGGGCCTGGCATTGGCAGCCCTGAGGGATGGGAAAACCAAAGCTTAAGGATTTTAAGCGATTTGTTTAAGTTTACAGAGCACAGAGGTGGAGGCATAGGGATTTTATAAGGCAGAGCTAAATATTTCAGGTTACCTTCACAAAGCTTTCCCTTTTCCTGTGAGGGAAACGGAGGCATTTTTCTGTATCACATGCCTGAAAAATTCCTCAAACTCTCAAAAAGCAAATGAGTGTCTGCTCTTCCTGGTTGAGTGTTCTCTCTGTGAGAGCAGCTGCGGCAATGAGAGGTGACTGGGGTGCAGGCCTAACATGAGCAGGTGTCTTCCTCCAGCCAAAAGGAGGTATTCTGACAGTATGTGACTAACACAGAGCCAAATACCAAGTAATGTCACTCATCTTCCCTCTCTTCACGGGACAGCAGTCCTCTACTCAACCTGCCCTGGGGAGCCTCAAGGAGAGCCAAGGCCACTTGCTGGTTTTCCCCTCTCCTTGAGCTGGTACTGGGAAGTGTGCAGAATATGCTCCACGAGGCCAGCCCTGGGGCAGGGAGGCCTTGGGCAGGGAGAGCAGCCTTCCGGGTCAGATAGGCCTGGCCTCAGGAAACTTACACCACCTGGCTATCTGCTTTGAGCAGCAGTTTCCTCATCTGTAAAATGGGAACTGTGATTCCCTACCAGGGAATTGTGAAGACTGGAAATATGTCATGCCGGCCCACAGGCAGCTCCAGTAAATGGTGACTATTACGTCTTATTAGTTAGTTGCTCACGTGAAGGCAGACGTCACTGATCTACATGGTCTGTCTGCAACGTGTGGCCAGGGCATCAGTGCGATTTTAACACATCCCCACCCCACCCCCTGACGATTCCAGTGCACAACCAGATATGGGGATGTCTTTTTTCTAAGCAATTAACCAACTCTTTTCATCCTTAGAGCAGTGGTTCTCAACCCTGGCTGCATACTGGAATCACCAGGGGAATTTTTTTTTTTGGCCACACTGCACGGCATGCGGGATCTCAGCTCCCCAACCAGAGATCGAGAGATCGAATCCATGCCCCCTGCAGTGGAAGCGCAGAGTCTTAACCACTGGGCCACCAGGGAAGTCCCAGGGAATTTTAAAATTACTGCTGCCTGGGTTCTACCTCCCGAGATTCTGATCTCCAGGGTCTGGGCTGCAGCCTGGGAATCAAGATATTTAAAAGCTTTCCGGGTGACCGTGCCGTGCAGTCTAAGCTGAGAAACACCAGCTTACAACAGTCTTCTGATTATCTCCATTTTCTAGATGAAAAAAGTACACCACTGTTACCCATATTATTCCTTGCCCTCTTCAGTATTGATATATTACCCTCTCCCTTAGTTCTTTGATCTGATCATTAGAAGGAGGATGGGAGGGGAGAAAAGGATGGGAGGGGAGAAAAGTAAGGGGGGGAGGAGTATCATCTCTTCCACCAGGACAGTTTTTGCTTGATTTGCAAATCAAGGCAGAAGACCACCCAGGGCTCTGGGAAATAACAGGAATGGAAGTTTGCAGTTGGGCACCCCCTGGTCACTGTACCCACAGCAGATACACGAAAGCCAGACCTGAGGTGGCTTCGTCACGCCCCCCAGAAGACCCAAGTGCAGGTGGAAGCAGTGATGGTGATGAGCCCTTGTCTGCCCATCAGGAAGGCTCTGAAGCCAGAAATTCAGGCCCTGGGATGCAGAAGTTGCTCAGCTAGGCTACGGGGCAAGGGGTGGACAGCGAGAGCCCCTCTAGGTTAGAACAGAGCCACCCAGGGTATATCCCAGGAGGGAGCAGAGAGGAGCCATCCGACCATAAGGGAAGTGATTGCCAACACTAATTCAAAAATTATGGGAATGCTGAAACACTGATGTACATAGGCAGAGCATGCATATTCCTATTCCCGCCTCCCTAGCAAGAGAGTCAGTTCCTAACCTGAATGCAGCAAAGGGAGGGTAGTCCGGAGGTCCAATTCCTGGTCCCCGTGACCTGCCACCAAAGCTTCGTGGGCTTGGACAAGGAGCTGCCTTCTCAGTTGTTTTCCTCCACCTGCCACCTGAGGTTTCACCTCAGAAAGCTTCCTGTCAGAAAGCTCCTAAGAGCCCATGAAAACTCTGAACAGAAATGAAGCTTGCCCTTCACCCTCCAAATTCCATCTCTGGGCTGATGTCTGGAGACTTGGGTTCTGGTCAGGGCCTGTTCACTAACTGGTCATAACCCTGGGCAGCCTGTTCAACTCCCTGGGCCTCAGGGTCCTCCCTTGTCAAATGTGGATGAGAAAACCCCGCCTGTCCACCTCACAGGGCTGTTGGGGAAATCATGAGATAACGCCTGACAAAGGACTTAGCTATCCAGCACAGTAGAAAAGCAGTAGGCGGGGGTGGGTGGAATGCTGAGCCCGAGGCTGGTTTGCAAAAGTCACGTAGGAGGGTTTCCGCGAAGGACAGTAAATCCACAAGACACAGAAACTACCTTCCCTGCTCCTGCCAGCTGCTTTCCTGCAAGTATGTCAGGAACACGCCCCTCTTCGCAGGCTGAGGGCCCAGCCCCTCACTCACTCAGTGCCCCGGGAGAACAGAGCAGGCTGCGTGAAGATCAGCGTCACAGTCACAGACAGAACTCGGCAGGGCCCAGGGTGGCACTCCATGAGGGTCTCCTGTTGTCTGCCCAGGAATCAGATGAGGAGTAAACCTAGACCAGCTTCTCAGAACTCAAAAATAGTGTTGCTGTCTCCAACACCAGCTCCTAAGCTTCATGGAAGAGCCTGGCTCAATTACCACCGA